GTCGAATCTGGTACTTTAATGAGCGACGCGCTTTTCGCGGTGATGAGCTTGAGCAAATATTTGCTTTCCGTGGATTCTCTTGGAAGTCTCTCTCAAAGTTTTATCTTTACTGGATGGATGAGGATGGAAGGATATTGAGAAAAGGGTTTTATATAGTAATGGAGGATTTAAATTTTCAATGTAACGGGAAAAGAGTTTGGGGGAGTGATTTAGGTAACGGGAGGAGGAAGAGCGGGATAGCATGCGGGAGCGATTGGTGAGTAGAGATTAGATCGGGCCAAGTAGTGAATTCTCGCCATGAAAATTAAAGGTTGGATGTCGATGATTGATTAGTGAATAGCTGGAAAGCGATCAAGGATATCTTCCTGTGTATCTGGAATGATGAAGATCTTGAGCTCTACTGAGTTCCAAAGTATCAAACAACGCTTTTCCCGATGACCAAAAAACGTAGGAAGGTCTTGCCATAGGTATGCTACTTTTCTTCCCAGAAGAAAAAAATAATAGTTGGGGAAAGGGTGATTGAATGGTCCCTCCTGAAGCTCATATCACACACTTGGTTTCATCGATTCTTTATATTTGTTGTGAGTTTGAGCATTCCGAATTTACTATCTTCTAACATATTGCTACCGTCAATACTCTTCACTTGCACTATACTTCATTCATTATCGTTTTCATCAGGCTTAGCATTTATTGTGAATTCGAAATCTATCGAAGTTTATACACGTCTTTGAGTAGAGAATCTCAAGAGGATCCGGAAAACAATGATAGGAATCTTCCGTATAGTAGGGCTTCCTTGAATATGGAGTATCGGACGTTGATGAGCGGTAGTCGTACTACATGAAAACTCCCTGATATCTGTTTTTACAAATTGTTGTTGATTCGATGTCTTACAATCGGGGATGGGCGCTTTATACAGCTACAATAGAGCCTCTCCGATAGTAATCTAGGACTTTAGCGAAGATTGAACGAGAACAAAGTAGGTACCCACGTGGTACCTACCTTGATAGTGCTGAAATGATAGCCTGTACCTTGTAGAAGATGTGAACTGGTAAATTTTGCAAACCAATATGGTTAAATGTTGGGATCTGAGGTAAAGAGATCACGCTGTGGCTAAAACTATGGCGTTATTAAGGGGGTTGAGTCTGGTGACAGATATTATTAGATTACCATTTCAATATCATTACACAGTTTATAATTTCTAGTGCTACCTACCTATAGCAAAATAGAGTGTAGAGGCATGATTTAGCGAGTCATATAAACTGCACTTAGAAGTTGAGAGACCTTGATTTTTGTTCACTTCTTTTTGTAAATGTCACAGCCATGTTATCGTTTAATGTTCTCAGGTTGTTGCCAGGGGAAATGGGAGGGCTTTTGTTGCCGCTATATTGCTTGCTTTCTACGATATTGCTTGGTGTAGCGATTTGTGGACGAGAGTGTGAGAGCAGAGGGATGGTATCGTGGAGAAATTTAGCACATAACTATCATGCCAGAAACGTTTCCTTGATTACTTGGACGAGATCGACTGTCATGAAAGTTCGAGGCGTTAAATATTCCCAGTATTGACATCACAAGGTGATTCTTACTTTTGCTAACATGTTCCTCTTGTCGTTTTCTCTTCGCTACTGAGATAGAAATCAGAGAACTTTGGCTAAGTACAACATGTTGTATCATTCAAAGTCTTAAAGGCTCATGAAAGCCGCTAGTTCCGCGCGCGAGACGATCTAGAGTACACCCTTTACGAGTTTCATGAACAATTAAAGTTGTATGTTTGTTGCATGATAATTGGCAGCTGAACGCACTTCAAATAACAATGCCCTGACTATGAATACGAAAAGACAAGAGGACTTGCATCTGGAGTGTATTTGGTTGTGTGGAACGACGAACTGATCAACATAATGATGTTGATTTAGGAAGCAGAATATGAGGAGTACTGTCATTCTAGTACCGCCGTAGATATATTTTCACTTTTTATTCACTTGTGTTTACCTCTTTTGCTGAGGTTTTATGTAAGTTACAGGAAGAATTGTAGTCTGGGGAGTGTCCAACAAGTTGTCGCGTGAAGCATTAGATGCTTCAGATGAGATCCAGTGATTTTTTTCTACTAGATCACAAGATCTCATCTTCAGCCCGAGCATTCTGTGATTCTTTCAAGATCACCAAGAAAGTATGTAGCTCTTCTTGTCATATTTCTCCATTTAAGTTACAGAATTGGGATCGTATCACCGGCATATCTTTCTTGTTATTTCTCAACCACTTCCATCGCTGGCCAGAAGTGAGTTCTTTCATACAGATGATAACTTTAAATTTCCATCAGAACGTTCGGATGAATATGCGAGGCAAACAAATGGTGCCAGGTGTCAGAAACCTATCACTCTGAGGCAAAGCTGAAGACTTGAACATTTTGACTGTTTGGATGGAACAGTTTGAGGAATCCGCAGACGGAAAACGGAGGTTCTGTAGGCGTTCAGTAAAAAGAAAAAATCGAGACAGGAAGTGGGAGATGGGGTCAAAAATGAGGCTTGATTCACTAATACAAACGAGAGAATGGTAAATTTATCCCGGATAGAGATCGCTAAGACGAGCAGAGGAAAGTTAGAAAAATCAATGGTAGCCCGTCGTTCTCCATTCTGGCTTGCACCCCTGTTTCGATTGTCCCCGGAGCTTCCATAATGGAATATCTAGAAAGTCCGAAAATCATTTAAAGTTGCTCGATCGGCACTTCACCTTGGAAATTGTCGATATCGTGAATATCCGGAGAAATTATTAAACCCCATATCATAATATGGCATGATTTGACATGACATCTCGCTAGGATCAGGGGTAAACACTTAGACAGCAATTATGTGGGGTTATGTCCAAAGCTAAAATATCTGAAACCTTGTAACATGCAAATCAAGGAATCTGGACTTGTACGTCCGAGAGAAATGGGTCGGACCAAATGACTAAGATATCAATTAGTGTTTAGCACTGTTGTTTCATACGAGAAGTGAGTGCCGAGGAGCGTTATAGGCATGCATGTGTGTATTATTCTGCAAGCATGAGGTCGTCTGAAGAATGAGATGAAGACACTGAGATAATCTCGAGGGGAACGTGCTATCATTCCCCGGAGAAGACACATGACAATAAACGTTGGTCGTTTGTATTTCCAGCTCCACCGCCAGGGTTTTGGTTACACCAAGGGAAAAATGGGGGAGTTGGAGTACCTGATCATCCTGACTAAGGTCTCTCTTTTTAAGGTTGAACCTAAGGTTATTGAAATTTATGCGGAATGGTACCAGCCCTTTTGATATCCTTTGATTGGAAGAAGGTACGAAGTAGATTCTTTCTGTAGGTCTATTGATGTGCACGAAAGCACGTGCTTATCATGTGACCTTTGTAGCTAGTAGTTATCTATAGACTTCTTTGTGTACCTAGTCTAATCAAAGGTAATCTATGTTCCTCTTACCTATTTGAACTCTAGGTGTTATGTGAGAGTATCTCACACCGTTCTCTTCGCCTCTCCTACAGGGACACTAGTTTCAGTGACTATTGTACGGAATATATGAAAGACTACTTTATAACCCTACCGCTCTACTCTTTTACATTGATTGAGATATCTTCTATTCACTGTATCAAATAGAAACATCATCTCTTTTCGTTGAATCAGAAAGGGAGATGCGGGCCATACAATGCTTAGAAATGTCGATCCTTCTTTTTTATTATTAATTTCTTCAAGAGCTTGACCTAAAGCGTGTTTCGTCAACAAAGGCAATCAGATAGAATAGTTATATGGTCAACACTGATGATTGAATTGTATAATCGATTCTTCAATTATCTTATATCACTACAATCAATTGTATTGCTTTCTCAATTTGTAACTTCTGCTTAATATAATCAACGGAGGATGTTCTAGCTCAGAATCTCATCAAAGGAATCCATTTCATACCTCGTTGTTATCAAGAAATGAAGGAGAAGATTGAAAAAGCAATTATTATCAAAACCGTCCGCATTTACTTTCACACGGGAACGTGCATTGAGGCGGTCTAGGGCATGAAGTGTCGGAACCAGAGTAGCCTCTAGGGGTTCGAAGCTTGATTTGAGAGCTAAAGTTCGGCAAGCTTTTAGCGCCTTCTGCAGAGCCTTCAATTTCATAGGGCAACAAGTGTAAAGGCTCGGCTTAAATTAAGTTGCGCTATTAATGGGACAAAATTAGAAGGGTAAACTAGATAAGCTCGAAGCGAAGTAAAATCAAGCTTTGTTGAGATGAGACACCATATTGCCGGCCAATGAAATGGAATGGTAAGTTTCGAAAGGTACAAAATAGATTGATTGAATGCCTATTCTTTAAATAAACATCTAGAAAAGTACTTGTCAATTCTAGAATCTTTCATAATTCTGGGAATGCTGCGTCACCTGGTCGAGGAGTAGTTTGGTTCTCCTATGTGGACAAACGACGCTTAGCCCCATTTGTCATAGTTAACGAGACATTAATGCTTAATTACACTCAACGACTGCGGCTTGAAACTGTAAAGCTTTCAATACTCCGCGAAGCCATCATTCAGAGATCGCATTTCCCGACACTGCCGAGCTAACGTCCGCTATTCACGCAGCATGAAAACTTAGCGGAAGTTTTTCCTTCAATCATAAATTCGCCGTCATAAATTGTAAACGAACAGCAAGAGCTGGGATATGACCGAGGCCTTGTGGTTACCATTCAAAGCTTCTCTCTGTTGACTTATTTTAGACTTCGATGCCTTTCAGAATACAAATGAAGAAATAAGAAAGTCAAATAAATTGTATTCTTCTCATTCCAGTGAACGGACATCTTGCTTGTTGTCCGATAGGGTGCTTGGGATAGCATTGCCTGTCTCCTGTATATGATTTTGTACCTGTCTACCTTCGCAAACACAGTGAGGGATTTCTCCGTGTTGAGAGAAATTCAATAGATCTATGATCTCGTAGCTGCGCAGGGGAGGCATGCAAAGACCATCAGTGATCACCTGCGAGTGCGAAATACCTCTATGTCGGATCTCAAATTTTTCTATAAGTAGGAAGCATATTCCCATTTCTTATTCTTTTCTCACACACTCAATCAATCTTCAGCCAGCATACACTCCAACCAACACACTCACTAACTTCACTGAAAATGATCTATCCCACAAGCCTCATCGCTTTATTGGCCAGCACGGCTTTCGTGTCTGCAGCTCCAGGTTCCGTAAGATTCCTCAATCCACTGACATATGAAATATATACTAAACGTCCATTCTTAGTCCCTGGAGGTTCTTGAAAAGCGTGATGCTTGCACATTCACCACCGCCGACGCTGTCAAATCTGGGAAGCTTGCTTGCAAGACTATCATCTTGGATAATATTCACGTTCCAGGTGCCACCACTCTTGACTTGACTGGCCTCAACACCGGTACACAAGTTATATTTCAAGGAACCACTGGGTGAGTTTCCTCCCTCACAATGCACGAAATAATCCTAACAACATTTCAGCTTCGACCATGCTCTGTGGGCAGGTCCTCTTATATCCATCTCCGGAGAAAATATCGTAGTCACCGGTGCGAAAGGAAACGTGCTTGACGGAAACGGTACAAAATGGTGGGACGGACTTGGTTCTAACACTAAGTCCGTGACGAAGCCTAAGTTCTTCGCTGCTCACTCATTGACTGGATCTTCCAGTATTACCGGTCTAAACTTCCTCAATGCACCTGTCCAGTGCATTTCAATTGATTCATCTGTTGGATTGTCACTTATCGGTATCACTATTGATAACTCTGCTGGAGACGCTGGTAATCTTGGTCACAATACCGATGGTTTTGACATCGGTAACAGTCAAAACATTTTTATCTCCGGAGCAATCGTCCAGAACCAAGATGACTGCGTTGCCATTAACTCTGGCACTGTAAGTTTCATCCCATTTTCCAACATCGTCGACTTTGCTGATCAGTAATAGAACATCACTTTCACCGGTGGAAACTGCTCTGGTGGACATGGTCTCTCCGTCGGTTCCGTCGGTGGACGCTCTGGCACTGGAGCCAACGATGTCAGCGATGTGAAGTTTCTCTCTTCCACCGTTTCAAATTCCGTCAACGGTGTTCGAATTAAGACTGTCAGCGGTGCCACGGGCTCTGTCAAAGGCGTCACTTTCCAGGATATCACCCTCGCCGGTATCACCGGGGTTGGTATTGATGTCCAACAGGATTATCAAAATGGCAATCCAACTGGTACACCCACTGCTGGAGTTCCAATTACTGGATTGACTGTGAACAATGTTCATGGTACTGTTTCTGGTGGTCAGAATGTTTACATTCTTTGTGCAAATTGCTCAGGTTGGACATGGGATAAGGTTGCTGTTACAGGTGGAACAGAGAAAAAGACTTGTGAGGGTATTCCTACAGGAGCTTCTTGCTAAGCTTGAGATATTTTCAAGCAAAGCGGTGGGAGAATTCATGGCTGCTGATAATACTTGATAATTATTGAGTTACTAGGAGGAGGATAGTGAGATGGGCTCTTTTTGAGAGACATTCCGGTGACATATTATAACATTTCTTTTGCATGTGGCTGTCAGATACTGGACAGATAACCAAGGAGGGCAGATGCCTCTGTAAATTAGAAACAGGCTTCTATCCAGATTATTTCTACACCTGCCTTATACCATATCTGTGATTTTTCTTTAACATCCTTTCTTTTTTGTGTCTGCTTAATGACGGAGTTGGATCTTTGTATTTTTAAGTGGAGAGCTACTTTTTGCTGTTTTCTCTCATCGGCTTAGATAGTTATTTTAATGTCATAATTTAAGCTCATGTCTATCATTCAACCACAGTACACACCAGACTTTTCAATCATCAAGCATTACAAGAAAAGAAGGGGGTGTTGTTTGAAAGATTACCTTCCCAGTTCGAATGTCATTAAAAATTACTGAAAAGTTATGATAAAACCAATTTCATTTGAAAATTTTTTGTGGGAGTACTAAAATAATAACCAGGACGAGAGAGACTGTGAGTTAGCTAAATCAGTTCCCTATCTTGCCCTTTGCAATCTCATGCCCATTCAACCCTCGCAACCTACGCTTCCTCCTTCCAAAAAATCAAAGAACTATTTCTCACAACAACATCACTCATGACTCTGATACTTTCCGCCCCCATGATATCATAGACGGCCACGTTCGTACCCAGCTCTTTGCCAAACCAATTGCGCAACTCCACTGCCAATAAAGAATCGACACCATACGCGTGAAATGGCTTATTTGTATCAATATCCGCTACTTCAGTCCCCAATGCTTTCGCCAACTTCATTACTATTGCTGTCGATACCACTTCCTTTAATACTTTTACAGAATCTGCAGCTTGCAGTTGATATTTGAAGCTCCTTTCAGGAGATTTGGTATCGGTTGAAAGAGTATCGTCTCGGCCAATATATGCAAGGGGACTGAAAGTGGGTGTTTGAGCCCAGGATGGTATTTCTAATCCCTGAGCGAACAACTGTGATGGCGCTAAGAGACAGATAATGGGTAAAGCCTCCTCTGATGCTAGTAACTCTAGTGGATTATCAGGATTACAGTAGTAATCAAGAAGTGCAAGAAACTCTTCTTCTTTGACCGATGCGACTTCATTTACAAGGTCCCTATTTTTGAGTACATCGGGATTCTCACTAATGATGCCTACATCGTTCATGATACCTAATCTGAGAGAAATTGCTTTTTGACCTTGACTGTTCCTGTAAAGACAGAATGCATCTTGGAATGTGTTTCCGGCGGCGTAGTTTGATTGACCTATTGATCCAAACACGCCAGCGATGGAAGAAAGGAGTATAAAGAAATCGAGGTTATCCGGCAAAGCTCTATGGAGATTCCATGTGCCCTGGACCTTTGGAGATGTAGCTGCCGACCAATCTTCGAAACTCATCTTCTCAAATAGGACATCCTATTACTTGTCAATAAACAACAGTTGTTCGGATTTTGGATTCAGCTACCTTTAAAACCATCGTAGCTTGTATACATCCTTTGATGAGAGGAAAAGCTCTAGAGCATTGCGAGATAGCTTTTCTTAGTTGATCAGAAGATGTAATGTCGCATTTCGGTGCTTCGACAGAGGACCCCATATCACGTAGCTTGATCAGCAAAGAAGTAGCGGCATCTGTCGTAGGTCCAGATCGTGATAATAGAATGAGATACCTTGCTCCTTTATCGGCCATCCATAGTGCTGCACTTCTACCCAAACCGCCCAAGCCACCTGCTATTATGTATGATGATTTTGAGTCAAAGCTCCACAGTGCTTGCGGTTGAATAGTTGCCTGTTATCGAGAGTTGTTAAATAACTGGGATATTAAGCCATGCAAACAATTTGAAAACTTACAGGGATTACATCTGCTCCATCGATGCTTAGAACTATCTTTCCAGATGTTTTACCGCTCTGTGATAGTCTCATGGCCCCTTTAAGATTCTCAATAGATATCACGTGAAATGGTTTGAAAGAATGAAATATCCCCCTATGAAAATAGTCGATGACATTAAGCATTATCTCTCGAAATTCTTTTGGTCTCTCAATGTTCAGAGAATCAATGGTGATCGCGGCGAATGTGACGTTCTTTGCAAAGGATGACATAGGTAGCTTGGTATTGGTGTATATATCAAGTGTACCGAGCTCGATAAATCTTCCATAGGGTGCAATTAACTCCCAAGTTGCGATTAACGCGTCTCCAGACAATGAGTTGAGGACAACATCTATCCCACGACCTTGTGTCATACGTTGTATCCCCTTTGCAAATTGAAAGTTACGACTATAGAAAATGTGGTCTTCAGCGATACCATATTGCTCCATAAGCAATTCTTTCTTTTGGTCAAATCCCACAGTAACATATATATCACAACTCAAATTTTTCGCGATCTGGATTGCCATTTGACCAGTTGCTCCGGACGCTGCATGAATCAAAATCGATTCTCCACTTTTGAGCTTTGCAACGTTGATGAGAGAGTGATATACGGTAGATCCGGCCATGATCATGCCTGCAGCCTCCTCTGGAGCCATTTTTTCGGGAATTTGAAGAACAAGATCCGAATGTGCTCTGACATATGTATTCATACATCCGAATTTCGCTATATAGGCTTTATCACCTGGCACAAAGGTCTTGCAATTGACTCCCACCCGAGTGACTATACCAGTAATTTCACAGCCTAGAAGATTGTCGTTATTATGGTATCGACCAAGTGTCACAAGAAGATCGCGGAAGTTTAGACCGGTATATTGAAGTTTGATCTCCACTTCGTCTGGACCAATCTCCACTTGGAACTTTTCATCTTGAATAAAGTGAAGAGATTCGAGCAGTCCAGGCCTTTTTAATGTCAAGGCTACTGCTCCTGCTTGATCGATTCGAACATCTCTCGTTTGTTCATGTATCCTAGTGTGTACCTGTTGATCAAGAGCTTTTGCTTCTCTGATGCGACCAATGTACAACAAACTATCACGATCCACATATTCCATGTCGCTGCTCATTCCTGTACCCAAAATCTTTTGAGAAAGAACGGATGCAATAGTCTCCCTCCACTTCTTGGGATCAGTCCCATTACCCTTGATATGTAAAGTGATGAAGGCAATGTCAAGTTCTGAACGTAGAACTCTAGCCAGTCCATCGACTAGACCATTAAAAGCTGCGGATCCCGTATCTTTTGAGCTATGCGTTACCTAGAGAAGATTCTTTGCAGAAACACACATTTGTTTGAGGACATCAAAATCCGAACTGGACAAGTTAGACAGAAATGGCACTTCAACCTATTGAAGAAACACGAGGAACGAAGATTGTGCATCTGTAATAGAAATTGTCTCTTTGAATGACAGTAATTTGATCTCAATGTCGATGGAAGGTTTCAAGCACGCTCTAATGTTCTTCACAACCTCAACTTGTTGGGAAGATGTGAGATCGACCAGAAAAATTATCTTCTGGACAGTGAGAGGTGTTTCTTCATTGTTTGCCGTGGACACAATGAGACTGTACTCATGATATCTGGGGTCATCGGTGTCGCGAATCGAGAAATCGACACCAGTGAAACCATTTTGGAGGAGAACTGTATGCCAAGTTTCCTCTGAAACACAAGGACCGTCTGAACGAAATTTCTCCGTGCCTATTTGCTCAGATTAATGCTACTGAAAAACACGTCTGATCAGAATCAAACTCACCCAGCCACCAGCCCTCCAAAGTTCCAAACACAAATCCTGTCCTCATTAGATCCGGTTGCGTATTCTCAAGCATAATAAGCTTTCCGCCACTAAGACGATTAGCAGGGAAATTGGAAATTTTGAATTTTGACTCACGGTCTCAATAATTTGCGACAGTTTCGCAGTGTATGTGCTAGGCTACTTGTAGCATGTAGAACCTATTGAAAATCGTCACTAATCACTAGGTGACTATTTCAAGAGTTGGTTCTGGGATCTTACACTGTGGGCAAGAAGTAAATCAAACGATCCTTCTTCAAAGCCCTGGGACACAATATCACCTTCAATATCCAGCACGCGGAACTGGATCTTATTTGTCGATGTCTCAAACTTCTCACGGGCTTGTTCAAAAAAGCTTGGTGAGATATCCGTATAATTATAAGAATTGAATCTCTCCGTGCATCGCTCCGTTCCGTCACGTTGAAGTAAAACTGACATCACACACTCTGTGAAAGCTCCTGTCCCCGAACCTATCTCCAAAACATTCAATCCGGGGTTCTGATGTGCAATTAAGTCAAGATACTTGGCGATATCCTTGCCATAAGTCTCTCTCATGCAAATATCTCGATAATACAATTCTGCCACTTTTTCCCCCGAGAAAAGAATTTCTAGTGGATTAACCTGATCTCTTATAATCCCTGGGAGTTCTTTTCCAATAGCAAGGTAAGTCCTCACCAGTGGATGATCTTTCATGTCTTTGGAGATAATTACATCAATCTCAGAATCATCATTGACCCCCTCGGCACTTGAAAGAAGCTCACTTGAAGAAGTGTTTTTCTCACAAGCCTTCAAACGACGCCGGAGACTTGTAAGATACTTTTGGATAAATGGCTTGGCGTTATCTTCTTCAACTTCTGAGATTTCGTTCAGCGCTTTCCTAGCGAAGTATTTCAACATGAATTCTAAAGTTTGGTAGACTTTGAATCGCTCAACATCTTCGATAGTTTCTGATCGACGGAAACGAAGTACTTCATGTGGTTTCAAAAATGTTACATCTGGCTTTCAAGAAATGTACCAATTGAGTTGTCGTGGTTGGATCTGTTCTTGAAAACTAGTACTATCGGAGACTGTGCTTGATTCTAGGCGAGATAAGGATAATATGAGTTTACCCATGCGGTCCAAAGCAAAACTAGAAATTTCGGCCTTCTGAGACCCTTTCCTTTCTGCTGTACAATAAACCTGTATTGATTGAGTCTCTGGATAGCTCAGACCGGTACTAGAGATCCAAGCATTATCAATTCGGGTGGGAATCATTGTCGGTATTTTAGTTGAACATCCGTCTGTAAGAGGAATCCATGAAAGTTGCATGAGAGCGTCCAAGGTAGTAGGATGAATGGTGTGAGGCTCTACTGCTTCGATACCTTCATATCCTGCCCAATCAAATGTGGTAAGGTCTGCAATTGAAGCCTTATTTCCGTCGTGGAATATTTTATCTAATTTTTTGAATGATGGCCCTAACTCTACACCCATATCGCTTGTGCATTGCTAAAGGGTCTCCTTGGAAATGGATTCTACACACTCACGAGCAGCAATTTTGTATTTCAATGTATAGTCGTCTTTTTCGTCTCGTTTCACTTTACCGCAGTCAACCTCGGTGATATCAGTCTGATGCTCAACCTGAATTATTCCGCGGCAGACCTCCTTCCAGTGACCATTATTGATGGCGTGTATACGGAACTCGGAAGATGTGCAGTCTTTGTCAGATGAATTCTGCAGCGATCGCATACATAATTGCGCTTCTGTTTTAGGATCCTGGCCGGATATCTGAATTGGACTTGAGATGATGACATCTTTCAACCTGAATCCGTTTATTTTTTGATCTTTTGCTACCATCTGCTTTGAAGCTTCTATGGCCATCACCATCATACCGGTTGCTGGATATATGACTTTCCCATTAACCTAGAGATTTTTTTTCGTTAGCAACTGACTAGTGAAAAAATAGATGCAAATTAAAAGCTAACCTTGTGATCCTGGATCCAGGAAACTCTTGTTGGATCAAAAATCTTGCGCCACCTAGATTCTAGGAGGTTTCCATCACTTATTGGCGTGCCAAGCAATTCAAGCTCAGGATGTTTCCTGAAAATAAGCTCTTGTCGTCTCCTTGGCTCATGCCAACATGAACGGGAATGATTAAAAGGATATTCTGGTAAGTCGACCAAAAGCTTTTTCCGGGAGTCACAAGAATTTTGAGGCTCGTTCACACAATCAAAATTGATCTTGTAGCCTAAGGAACTTAGGCGACCAGCCAACTCTTTCATGGCAATAGCGCTGGAAGTATTACGCGATAGGGTAGAGTGGTATCTCAGTCCTGATTTAGGACTTAATCTCTCGGAAATCTCCTTGACATATCGCTGTAGTGCAGGATGTGGCCCGATTTCCAAAACATCGCAAACTTCAAAACTGCGATTTTTTGCACCCAGTTTCCTCTTGGGAGATGATATTGCTGTAGCAACAAGATCATCATAAGCCTTCGAAAAGTTAACTTGACTCACCATATTTCCGACCCAATATTGAGCTTGACTGAGGCTCTCCAAGTCGAAAATACGTTCACCTGTGACCGAAGATATCATAAGGATAGGCGATAGGGGAGTTTGACCTATTGCCAAGGTTTGTAGTAGCTCAGAGTATTCATCTGCCACATCATTCATTTGAGGGGAATGATAAGCAACACCAGTTTTCAATTTGCGCCCAAATATCCCATCAGTATTAAGTTGCTGTTGAAGCAAATCAATTTCCCTTTCCAAGCCTGAGAGTGTCACATTGCAGGGACTATTAACGCATGCTACAGTGAGGCTTCCGGAATTGGAAAGGCCCAAAGCTTCTGCTAGATATGGCTGAACCTCGAATTCTGCAAGGTTGATAGATATCATTGCACGAGGATGTTTATAACTGTGCCGAATTTTCTTAGCTACCTGCCCTCTAAAGAAGGCTACCTTGCATGCAGATTCGAAAGATAGACCACCACACGCGTAACTAAAAGTTGATTTCTTAGTGCAAGTATTCTGTCATGGGGACCTTAAGAGTGACCTACGCTGCGGCGATTTCGCCAGAGGAATGTCCCACACAATAGTAGGCAATATACCAAATTCTCGAAGTAATTCTATTAGCGCAAGTTGCAGAGCGGTACAAAGTGGCTGAGCATAAGCAGGATCATTGATATTAGAAACAATTCCGTCGTGAGCAAGTTCATCTTAAATGATAAGCGTCCGTTTTTCTTTTGAAGATACAGGGAGATAGGTAACAAAGAAACACAACCCTACCAGAAAGACACCAGGTACATCCAAGCTGGCGAAATACTTCTTCGGCTTTCTTGAATGTGTTGCAAAATGCAGGAAAGGAGAGTAAAGTCATCCCCATTCTAGAATACTGTGCACCCTGGCCTGTGAAAATAAAGGCAACGCCCAGAGAAGAGGCAGCCCTGATTGGTGACGATAGCTTGATCGAAAGATCCATTACATCGGTCAAACTATCAGTGACAACGAAGGATCTCCATGTCAGCGCAGATCGTCGAAAAGAAAGAGTGTAAGCTAGGTTCCTCAATAAAGAGAGTTGATTGATTTGAGTTTGCAAAGCATGACCTGCAAAGTAGGAACTATAAGCTTCTGCAAGGCGTCCTATCCCATCCATGTCGACAGCACTAAAGACTAGTAGTTGCGGATCAGAAACAGGATTGCAAGATTTGGCGGTAAGCCCATTGACCTGAGTTACGGACCAGAAGTCAGCATAATGAATCATCAAGACATCGAGAAATGCGGTTCGTACGTATGCTTTTTCTTCCGATTCCGAATCATCTTCACAAATTTGTGGGTCAAATATAGTATTATGATTACCGACGAAGGAATTTAATTTCAAAAAATGGTATGCATCATTCACGATGCAATGGGAATTTGTTGGTATCAACTTGATGTTGATTAAAGTGTAAAGTACTTCAATCTTATCAATATAATTGATTGTATTATTCATCTTGATTATTATTAATTATGGGAAACTAGTACTTGATATAATAGAAGTACAAATGCTAGTGCTAGTGTTAGTGTAATATAGTGCTCTCTTTAGATCACATAATTGATATCCCAACATTAACAACTCTTAAGTTGAATATGATTATATGTCTAAGCTCATTATTCAATCTTAAATACAATATTCTATTTCTATTCTCTTAGCTCTTATTTCACTATTCTTTTTTCATTCAATATATCACTTTAATGATTATTTTATTAGTATCAATCAAGTCTTTTAAAGCTTGATATGTACTGTTTTTAGTCATAGCGTCCGCAGGATTCGACTTCCTATCAATTCATTTAATTTTCCCGATTTCCCTATTTTCGTAGTATTGTTGTACAATTATAATATCGATTAGAAAGCGCTTTTTTGTATTAATACCGAGCTTAGTTAATAAGTTATATAGTGACTTAGAATCCATATATAGTATCAATAGTATTTACTTTTTAGACTTGAGAATAATATTGATAATGCTTTTAATAGCAGTATCTATATCGAAACTTAGAATTAATGCATATAACTCAAAAGCTAGTATATTTTTAGTAATTCTTTTGTATTTAATCGATGTTTAGTAGATGATATTAGTATTATTGTATTTATCTATTAAATATATAATATAATCAATTTGTGAAGATAAATCAGTATTATTAGCAAAGGATGTATCGGTAAAGACAATTAATTTGATAGAATCTATATCAAGAGATATAAAGGTTAATCCTTTTCTTGGATTGTTCATTTGCTATTTGATAATCTTATTGAACTTAATAATATCTTTTTTCTTCGGATTTATTATCTAAATAATAATTAAAAGATAGTATAATATCTCTAATTAATATATTATTGTAATATATACACCTCTTGTATATTAAGTAATATATTGATTCTTCAAAGTAATATTCTTTGAATCTTTCACACAACAAATTTCGAAGGAAACTTTTTCTTCGAAATACGACCTTCTCATGATCGCTCTAGATCATAGTTATCAATACAATTCCATTGCAATTATCTTCAAGTGATTTTGGCTAGTAGTTGTTGTGATATTGCTGTCGACACTTCGAAATACAAAACGCATGTAAAAAAAACGTGTGAAAAACTTTGTTCTAAGACTTTAGAACAGACAACTTAATCTCAATATCAATATGGAATACTCCGATTGTATAGTTATAAAGGTTCCAAATACTAATCTGAATATTTTTTCAGATATAGATATGAGAGAAGCCATTTCAGATCAATCTATAATATCAAATACCTATCCAGCAATCACTTCCAGCCCTCCTACAATTCCAAATTTGCCTATTTATTTCAGAAGAACCCCAATCGAATTATCAAGCCTTACTTTATCAATCAATCAAATAACCAGCCCTGAAATCAGAATACAAGATTTCAGTATATCTAGCGATCCTTTTATTATTCAAAAGCCAAACAACATCATTCAAATCTTCAATCAAAACAAAAAGCGAAACTTTATTATACTATTCACCAATCCAAACAAGCAATTCAAAATCCAAAACGATCCAATTACTTCTAAAGAAGTTATTCTAAAAGCTAGAGATCTTATAGTTTTAGTTTTTATTCTCTTTCAATTATGTAATGAACAATTTAAGTTATTAGATCTTTTAGAAATCTTTAGAGAATATATTGAAAAAGGAAATCTCATTACAGCTTCCAAAATCATTATATTTTAAATCAATCATTTGAAAACAACTATACAGAAAATCGAATCTCAAATTAAAGTTTTAATTAAATCGGCTTTCATTAGTATTATAATATCAATATCAAAATCTTTTTATGCTAATATTACAAAAAAAGGGGAATAGAATCTAGTTACTAAAGGAAAAAGTAACAAATCTATTCCAATAGAGAAAAAGACTAGTATTATCCAAAAACGATTACTCTTAATTAAATCAGAAATCCCTAACTCCAAAACCTTCTCGTCTTTAACGATTCGAAACAAGATTAATAAAGCCTTTCAGAAAATTGAAATCAAAGAACTAATAGTTGCTATAGCAATACTCTCTCTCAATAATAATATCATTATTACTATTAACGATCTCTTTACAACACAATTTCTAATTAAAAAGAAAGCCATCTGGAAAAATGTTATCAAATTCGAAAGGATTCAAAAAGATTAAGAATGGTATAGGGTTATTATTCACAATATCTCTATAAAAGAGTTCTTTAAGTTTAAAGGAATAGATTTGATTATAACTAAAATCAAAACCTTTAATACAAATTTCAAGCCAATAGAAACTCCCTTCTGACTCACTCCAATAGCTAAAAGAGCCTACCAAAAAGACAGCGCTATCATTATAGCTTTTGCCTCAAAATCAGAAGCCGAATTAGCTATTCGAAAGCGATTGTATATTACAGGCACTAATATCAGAATAGAACAATTCTACAAATCCAAATCTACTACACAATACCAAAAATACCAGGGCTTTGAGTATCAAAGCTCATATTACAAAAAAGACCCTTCTTGCGAATTGTATAGAGGCAAACACATTACAACAATATATCTCTATATAATCTGCAATTTAAGAGGAAAACTCTACTCTCATATTATCACTAAATACTCTAATTATCAAGGAAATCATACAGCTAGCTCTAAAAACTATGAAATCTTCAAAGCTATTCAACAAAAAAGCCAACAGCATTAATCAATATATTATAATAATATCAGATTTCTTCAAATAAACCTCAACAAAAGCCCTCAAGTTATAGAAAACATTCTACAGCTTGTTCTTGAGCTCAATATTGATCTGATTTTAATTCAGGAACCTTGAATTCAAAAAAATGGAATCAATTTCTCTAATTGCAGATCGACTATATATTCCAATTTTATACAAATTCTCCCCAACTTCAACCCCAATCTCAAACCCCAAACCCTCTTATATATTTTCAAAGACCTTTGAGCTATAGTTAATCTAGCCCCTTATTCACCAATAGACCTGGATATACAGATAATAAACTGCTAAAATAGAAGCGAAACCTTTCAAATTATCAATATATATAACAAAGCAGATTAAGCATAGAAAAAAGGATATATAATTAATCGATCTCTTTACAATCTATCGATTAATCAATAAACAATAATATTAAACAATTTCAATTCCCATTATCCATTATGAAATCTCTTTTCAAATAAAAGTGTTAATATTAATCAACTAGTAGAGTGGATTGAAGATCAAAATCTAAATTTATTAAATAAGCCTGATACTATTACTTTCTTTTGAATTAATTTAATAAATCTAAGTATATTTGATTTCATATTAGCTTCTTAAAGTATTTCTTTAAGGATATAAGATTGACAAATACTTTTTAATATTGAATCCGATTATTCAGGGATTCTATTTGAATTAAAAAGAAAAGAGAATCCAAATATCTTTTATCAAGAGTCAATAATCAGATATCATACAAAGCTAGCCAATTGGGAGCTATTCGAATCTATTCTACAATTCAAAGCCAAACATTTGTCTACTCTAGCCAAACTAAGTATGTTTATAACAATTATATAAGATTCGATTGATTTCCTTTAAGAAAACAATATATATCATTCCAAATTGGATCATACTGCTAGCGAACTTACAAGGATTATCCAAAAGGCAATGAAAAGCTGTATTCCGAAGGTTATAATAAACAAAAGAGCTAAGCCATGGTAGTCTTCTGAATTGAAAGCCCTTCGAAAAAAACTAGGAAAAGCAAAACAACAAATTAAATCCAATCTCAAAAATACTAGTTCAAAAAAAGCTTATCGAATTATTAGAAATAGATATTTTCAAGCTATTAAAACAGCAAAAAAGAATCATTGAAACGATTTCCTAGAAAAAGAGAATACTCAAACTATTTTCAAAGCAATAGTCTATACAAAGGATTATCAAAATCAAAGGATCCCTGATATTACTTCAGAAACCTTTTTTGAAGGAAAATGCTCTGCTTTTCGAATTATTTTGTTCCCTTAATCTCTTATTATAGTCAAATCTGAATAAGAAGGATATTAATAATTCAATAAATAGGAATGGCCTGATCTTTTTAAAAACAAACTAAAGAATATTTGTTCGGCTAAAATTCAAGGGAAAACTCCTGGTCCAGATAGTATTATTCAAGAAATCATTACAAGAGCATATAAAGCTATTTCACAAACCTTCTTTATTTTATATAGTAAGCTTCTCAATATTAGATATTACCCATAATACTAAAAACAAGCCATTAAAGCAATTCTTAAAAAAGCTTCGAAACCAGATTATTCAATATCAAAAGCATATAGAATTATTGCACTTTTCAATTGCTTAGGAAAAGTAAGCAAAAGGATTCTAGCTCAACAATTAGAATATCTAACGGAAACTACCCATCTCTTACATTATAACCAAATAGAAGAACAACAAAAGAAATCGGCAATCGATACAGCTCTCCTTTTGAATACAGAGATTGAAAGCAATAAGCAAGCTAATAGTAAGACTTCGGTTTTATTTATAAATATAAAAGAAGCATTCAATCATGTTTCAAAAAATCGATTATTGGATATCTATAAGAAATTGAGACTACCAACCAATCTTATCTCCTAGATAGCTTCATTTCTTCAACAAAAACAACTAAAACTATCTTTTAATAATCAAATTGAATCTTTCAAACCAATTTCAACCAGAATACCACAAGGCAGCCCTATCTCGCCAATCCTCTTCTTGATTTATATTAAAGATCTTTTCCAAAACAATTCAATCAAATTCCTTTTATATATTAATGATATCACTCTTATCACTAATTCATCTATTTAGAAAAAGAATGTTAATTCGTTAGAAAGAGCTACAAAACAATTATACAAATTCAGCTCAAAGAATGCAATCCAATTCGATTTAGCTAAAACAAAGCTAATGCATTTTTCCTCTTCCAAATTAACAGCTCAATATCCTATTACTTTACCCAATTCGGAAACAGTAATACCCCAATCTCTAATTAGATGGCTT